CCCTGGCTGTCTTAGAACTCACTCTCTAGATCAGGCTGGCCTTGAACTCACAGAGATCCACCTGCCTCTGCCTCCCCAGTGCTGGGATTAAAGGAGTGCGCCACCACCACCACCACCACCACCACCACCACCACCACCACCCCAAGGCTTCTTTATTTGTTTTTAATTAGCTCCATTTCTTATTTCTAAGCTCTACTGTGTAAATGATCCTTTCCCATCCTTCCAGCTCTACCTAGCATCTCATTTCCTAGTTTTCCAAAGACAGTAGGGTACCTTCCCTGGCTGTACCCCCTGAACTGTGTGTGCCTGGGAGACCTTCGTCAGGAAACTCACTCAGCCTGCTTTCTGGTTGCTGCTGTTTCCCAGTGCTTAGTGGAGCTTCCGAGTGTTATCCCTCTGAGGTCACTGACTCATCACCTGGTTCACATCCCCATGTTTCTCCGGGTCAATGACAAAAGTGATTAAAAAGGTAGCAGGCCTCTGTCTCAAGAAACCAACAGGGAGACTTAGCTCATCATGGACGCTCTCGTTCTTCCCGGCTTTGGGTCTGACCTGCTTCCCTTCCTTTCCTTTGCTCTGGCCAAGTGGGTTGTCTTATACATTCACGTGGGACGTTTCCTCCTTGAAACTGGCTCATCTAACACAAAGGAAGTGGACATTCCTCCTCCTCTTCCTCCCTCCCACATTTCCCCCCCTTCCCCCTCTCTGCCCCTCATTACTGGCTAGGACAGTTTCCTATAGACATGCAGGCTATTTTGGGAACTGCTATTCTTACAAATCAGAATGGTTTGGTTACCTTGGAAAGGACGAACGAGCTAAAGACAGGAAAAGATTTGTTGAGTCCCTTGATCCATTCTCTCGTACGTGTGAGCCAGCTCCTGCGCTATATGCTCAGTTGTTTATAAACATCCCAGAGAACATCCGCCCCTCCATGCCTGTGGAACCTCAGTACTGACTTTTCCCCTGTGGCACTCAGCAGCCATTCGCTGACGCTGTAATTAATTAACAGTGGCCACGACAGAGGCTTTATTGAAAACCCAGTAACCGGGACAAATCTTAGGTGGAAAAAAATCCCACAGGCGCACCTGGGAGTGCAGCTCAAAGCCGAGACCCGTGTGAGCGCCCCATGGAGTGTACTTCCATGTAACTAAATGATTCCCTTGGCCTCTCGAAGGCTGTCATTACTTCCCTGCTCACTTCTGTTCTTTGGCACAATCTGAGAGAAACGTTCTCCTGGCCAGCTGGGGCTCTGTGCACGCCTGTCTCTGCATCAGAGGTTAGGAACTCAGCTCTTGCCCTCTCTCTTCTTCTCCCAGTCTGTAAACAGCACGCGTCTCACAGCTCTGAGGGTTTTGTACCTTCCACGGTTCTCTTAACTCAATTACTCTGTGTGTCCCTTTATCCGTCTCCTGAGTTGCAGCACACAAAGCCACTAGAAGAGGCTGTGGAGTGGCTTCTGGTTGTGTGAGCTCAGGTCATTTATTGTTCCAATGCTCAAAAAGGAGCTGCTGGGATGGCTGAAGTGGGATTTCACAGTAGTCACTTTGCCTCTGAAGGGCTCTAGTCCCAGAGCATCCTCTCTCTCCTCTGTGTCCTCGGGTCATCAACCTTTCATCAGCGATGACCCTGCATCTCATCCTACAGGCCAAAATATACAAAGGGACGATTTCAACTCCAGTTGGATGCCAGCTCTATTGATGCCAGGCTCTACATTAGGTGCCAATGACATGAAGACAAACAAGACTCAGTCTTTCATTCCGAACAGCCTCCAGACTTTGGGTCTAAAAACACACACATGGATTAAAACTTTTTTTTCTAACCTTTATTGTTATGTATTGGGTCTTCTCTGCCAGCATGTATACCACATGCATGCCGTACTCATCGAGGCCAGAAGAGGGTGTTGATCCCTTAGAATTAGAGTTACAGATGATTGTGAGCCTCAACGTGGGTGATGGGAATCAAACCCAAGTACTCTGGAAGAGCAACTATTACCTTTTTTAGTTTGTTTTTCAAGACATGGTTTTTCTGTGTAGTTGTGACTATCCTGGAACTCGCTCTGTAGACCAGGCTGACTTTGAATTCAGAGATCCACCTGCCTCTGCCTCCCAGGTGCTGGGATTAAAAGCATGTGCCACCACACCAAGCTATGAAATTCACGTTCTTCACCACTGAGTCATGTTTCCAGCTCCTAGCAAGTTTACCCAGATTTGGCCTCTATCACTCCATTGGTAAGGGGTATGACTACTGTATCTCTGGAACTATGGAAGCACACGGGAATGCTGTGAGTCTCCAGTAGAAACATGGAAAAAGGAGCCTTAGAAAGAGTGCTCTTAAGGCTTAACAGACATAGGTTTTGAGGTGTGAAAAGAGAATTGGGTAAAAAGGGAGGAGAAGGCACAGGATGGGCAATGTGGAAACTGACTTGAAGATCAAATAATGGAGGTTGCATATAGACTAGACCTAATAAATAACATTTTCCCCAGCCAAACGAGTAAAGAAATGCTGTCATTAGCAGAAGAAAAACAAAACTCCAGAGACACAGAGCCATGAGAGATATCGACTCTTCAGGGAAGCTGCTGCTTCTGGGTGCCTTGGCCTGTCCAGATGTGGGTGATGAGGCAGATGAGAGTGGGCAGGCCCCGAGGAAAAGCTGCCTGGATGTGAGCACGAAGGAGAGAGGTGTGAGGCCAGGTGGATAAGGGTGGTATTCATTTGGAGTCAGAAGATGTGGTATCAAAGCAGTGTTACCAGAGGGCTTGACTGTGGCCCGCAGAGACTGATGCTCTAGAAACTAATACAGACGCACTGCACATTTACTCTTACAACCCACAGTGATATTCGTTATTGTACTCTCTCCTGTTTCTTGTTTTCAATTTCATTGGT